CTATCTATCTATCATCTATCTATCTATCCCAGTACATATGGGTTTGGTTTCTAGAAAGCACATCAACCCCAATGGGTTATTTAATGCCGACAATATTATCTATCTATCTTTGTTGTATATCTATCTATCTATCTATCTATCTAAAACATTCATTCATTGGTTTGGTTTTGGTTTTTTGGTATATCAACCTCAATGGGTTATTTAATGCCGACAAGATTTTATCTATCTATCTTTTGTCTAATCTATCTATCTACAGATTATCTATCTATCTATCTATCCAGACATATGGGTTTTTTGTTTTATGGTATATCAACCCTATGGGTTATTTAATGCCGACTCTTCACATTTATCTATTTTTTTATATCATCTATCTCATCTATATCTATCTATCTAATATTCAGTACTGGTTTCATTTGTTTTACGGCATATCAATCAATGGGTTATTATTTAAAGCCGAGAAGTTCATTCATCTATCTATCTATCTATCTATCTATCTATCTATCTATCTATCTATCTCAGTACATATGGGTTTGGTTTTGGTTTTTTTTTTGGCATATCAACCCAATGGGTTATTTAATGCCGACTTCACATTTATCATCTATCTTTGTCTCCATTCATCTATCTATCTATCTATCCATTGGTCCATCCATCCATTGTTCCATCCATCCATCCATCCATCTATTACATGATCCAGGGTTTGGTTTTGTTATGTTTTATCTATCAGCATCAACCTCATTGGTCTGGTTTTTATTTAACGAATATCGACCTTCAATTATTATTTATCTTGTCCCCCATCTACTCCATCCATTATCTATCTATCCAGACATCTATATTCTGCACATATGGGTTTGGTTTGGTTTGTTTTACGGCATATCAACCCCAATGGGTTATTTAATGCCGACCTTCACATCCATCTATCGTTATCTTTGTCACCATCCATCCATCCATCAATCCATCCATCCATTTAATCTTATCCATTTATCTATATATTATCTATCCCAGTCACATATGGGTTTGGTTTTTTGTTTTATGGCATCAACCCCAATGGCTATTTAACGCCGCACAAGATTTTTCATCTATCTTCTATTACATCATCTATCTATCTATGTATCCATTGGTCTGGTTTTCATCTATCTATCTATCCATCAATATCTATCTCAGTACATATGGGTTTGGTTTGGTTTTGTTTTACGGCATATCAACCTCAATGGGTTATTTAATGCTATCTATTGGTCATCCATCTATCTTGTATCTATCTATCATTATCTATCCATGCATCTATCTTTTCTATATATTATCTATCTATCTCATCTATGGGTTTGGTTTTTTGTTTTATGGCATATCAACCCCAATGGGTTATTTAATGCCGACAACATTCATCTATCTATCTCTATCTATATATCTATCTATCCATCTATCCATCTATCTATCTATCTATCATATTGGTTTGGTTTTGTTTTTTTTTGTAGCATATCAACCCCAATGGGTTATTTAATGCCGACTTTTCACATCTATATATTATCTTTGTCATTCATCATCCATTCATCCATTTATCTATCTACATTCATCTATCAACATCCATCTATCTCAGCACATGGGTTTTGGTTTGGTTTATTTTCTTATCTATCAACCTCAATGGGTTATTTAATGCATTCACTCTTTATTGGTCTATCTATCTATCTTTGTCTCTATCATCTATCTATCTATCTATCTATCTATCTATCTATCTATCTATCCAGTACATATGGGTTTGGTTTGGTTTGTTTTTTACGGCATATCAACCTCAATGGGTTATTTAATGCCGACTCCTTCATATCTATCTATCTATCTTTATCTATCTATCTATCTATCTATCTATCTATTCATCTATCTATCTATCTATCTATCTATCTCAGTACATATGGGTTTTGGTTTGGTTTTGTTTTACGGCACCTCAATTTCAATGGCTCATTATCTATCTAATGCATTCATCTATTCATTCATCTATTTATCCCATCTGGTTTTTGTTTTCATCATCCATCTATCTACATCTATCTACATCTATCCTATCTATCTATCATTCATCTATTCCATTGGTTTCATTTGTTTTTACGGCACATCAACCTCAATGGGTTATTTAATGCCGACTCTTCATCTATCTATCTATTCATCTATCTATCTATCTATCTATTCATCTATTCATTCATCTATCTATCTCAGTTATGGTTTTGGTTTTTTTTTATGGCATATCAACCTCAATGGGTTATTTAATGCCGACTCTATTTTTATCTATCTATCTATCTTTGTATCTATTCATCCATCTATCATCATCCATTCATCTATCTATCTATCAATCTATCCATACATATGGGTTTGGTTTTGTTTGTTTTACGGCATATCAACCTCAATGGGTTATTTAATGCCGACTCTTCATATTCATTCATCTATCTATTGTCTCTATCCATCTATCCATCTATATATCTATCTATCTATCTATCTATCTATCTATCTATCTATCTATACATATGGGTTTGGTTTGGTTTTTGTTTTACGGCATATCAACCTCAATGGGTTATTTAATGCCGACTCTTCATATCTATCTATCTATCTTTGTATCTATCTATCTATATCTATCTATCTATTCATCTATCTATCTATCTATCTATATCTATCTCAGTACATATGGGTTTGGTTTGGTTTGTTTTCATTTGGCATATCAACCCTCAATGGGTTATTTATTGCCGACCTTCATATTTATATCTATCATCTTTGTCTTTGTGCATCTATATCTATATCTATCTATCTATCTATCTATCTATCTATTCATCTATCTATCTCAGTACATATGGGTTTGGTTTTGGTTTGTTTTATGGCATATCAACCCCAATGGGTTATTTAATGCCGACTTCTTCATATTCCATCTATCATCATTCATCATATCTATCTATCTATCTATCTATCTATCTATCTATTCATCTATCTATCTATATCTATATATTGGTTTGGTTTTGTTTTACGGCATATCAACCCCAATGGGTTATTTTAATGCCGACTCTTCATATCCATCTATCTATCTATTATCTCCCATCCATCCATCTATCTATCATATCATATACTATCCATCTATTATCCATCTACCATTTACGGCATATCAACATCAATGGGTTATTTAATGCCATTTCTTTTTCATCCATATCAATCATCAATCTCTATCATCTATCTATCTATCCATCCATCCATCCATCTATCTATCTATCATCCATCATATATCTCCATCCATCCATCTATCCATCCATCTATATATCTATCTACATATGGGTTTGTTTTTGTTTTGTTTTATGGCACACCAACCCCAATGTAATATTTAATGCCGACCTCCACATCCATCCTTCATCCATTTTTCATCATCCATCCATCCATCCATCCATCCATCCATCCATCATCTATCCCAGCACATATCCACATTGGTTCCATTTGTTTTATGGCATATCAATCAATGGGTTATTTAATGCCGATCTTCATATTCATATCATTTATCTCATTCACATCCCATCTATCATTCATCTATCTATCTATTACATATATATCTATCTATCTCCCAGTACATATGGGTTTGGTTTGTTTTGTTTTATGGCATATCAACCTCAATGGGTTATTTAATGCCGACATGATTTTATCATATCTATCTATCTATCATTCATCCATCTATATCTATTCATCATCTATTTCATCTATTTGTTCATCTATCATATTTAATCCATTTATTTATCTATCTCAGTACATATGGGTTTGGACTGGTTTGTCTCATTTAATCCATTATTTATCTATATATTATCTATATAATTTATCTATCCAGTACATATGGGTTTGTTTTTGTTTATTTAATATCAACCTCAATTTATTTAATGCCGATCTATCTATCTTTGGTATTATCATTTGTCATATCTATCCATCTATCTATCTATTCATCTATCTATCATTATCTATCTATCTCAGTACATATGGGTTTGGTTTGGTTTGTTTTACGGCATATCAACCCTCAATCGGTTATTTTAATATATATATATCTGGTATTCATATATCTATCTTTATCTATCATTTGTCATTCATCTATCTATCTATCTATATTATCTATCTATTCATCTATCTATCTATCTCAGTACATATGGGTTTGGTTTGGTTTTTTTTACGGCATATCAACCTCAATGGGTTATTTAATGCCGATTCATATTATTATCTATCTTTATATATCTATTATATCTATCTATCTATCTATCTATCTATCTATCTATCTCAGTACATATGGGTTTGGTTTTTTGTTTTATGGTACATCAACTTCAATGGGTTATTTAATGCCGACTCTTCAATCTATTCATCTATCTATTATCTCCATTCATCTATCTATCCATCTATCTATCTATCTATCTATTGGTACATATGGGTTTTTTGGTTTGTTTTATGGGCATATCAACCCCAATGGGTTATTTAATGCCGACTCACATTCATCCATCTATCTTTGTCCCCATCCATCTATCTATCCATCTATCTATCCATCCATCCATCCATCCATCTATCCCAGCACATACAATGGGTTTGGTTTGTTTGTTTTATGGCATATCAATTCAATGGGTTATTTAATGCCGACCTTCATATCTATCTATCATCTTTGGTCTCATCCATCCATCTATCCATCCATCCATCTATCTATCTATCCATCCATTCAGTACATATGGGTTTATTTTTTGTTTTACGGGCATATATCAACCTCAATGGGTTATTTAATGCCGACCTTCATATTCATTTTTATTTTGTATCCATCTATCTATTCATATATCTATCTATCTATCTATCCATTCATCTATCCTCAGTACATATGGGTTTGGTTTATTTGTTTTATGGCACATCAACCCTCAATGGGTTATTTAACGCCATCTCTTCACATTCATTTATCTATCTATCTTTGTCTCCCCATTCATCTATTCATATCTATCTATCTATCTATCTATCTATCTCATACATATGGGTTTGGTTTATTTTTGTTTTATGGCATATCAACCTCAATGGGTTATTTAATGCCGACCTTCATTATCTATCTTATTCTATCTTCATCTATCTATTATCATTATTCATCTATCTATATCTATCTATTTTTATCTCAGTACATATGGGTTTGGTTTGTTTGTTTTACGGCATATCAATTCAATTTATTTAATGCCGATCTATCCATCTATCTATCTTTGCATTATATCTATCTATTCATATTATATCTATATATCTATCTATCTATCTCATTCATTGGGTTTGTTTGTTTGTTTTGACGGCACATCAACCTCAATGGGTTATTTAACGCCGATAAACTTCCACAAATATCTATCTATCTTTGTCATCTATCCATCTATCTATCCATTCATTCATCTATCTATTCAGTACATATGGGTTTGGTTTGGTTTTTGTTTTATGGCATATCAACTATCCAATGGGTTATTTAATATCCGATTTTTATATATATCTATCTTTATCTTTCATGCCATCTATCTATCTATCTATCATCTATCTATTTATTGGTCATTATCCCATACATATGGGTTATTTAATGTTTGTTCAAGATTTCAACCCCAATGGGTTATTATCTATCTATCATATCTATCTATCTGTTTTTATCTATCCATTCATCTAAATCTATTAATCTTATCTATTTTTATCTATCTATCTATCTCAGTACATATGGGTTTGGTTTTTTTTGTTTTATATATATCAACCCTCAATGGGTTATTTAATGCCGACTTTACATTTCATTTATTTATCTTTGTCCCATATCATCTAGAAATCTATCTATCCATCTATCCATCCACATCTGGTTATCCATCTATGGTATATCATCAGTACATATGGGTTCATCATTTGTTTGTTTTACTGCTGGTATATCAACCTCAATTATCTATTTAACGCCGACTCTTCATCATATCATCCATTCATCTTATCTACATTCATATACATCTATTATCTATTCATCTATTTATTTATCTATCTATCTATCTCATACATTGGGTTTGGTTCATCCAGCATATTTTATTTTAATGCCATCCACATTAAATACAATATATATTTATCTATTCATCTATTTACATCTATCTATCTATCTATTTGGTTTTTTTTATCCACATGGCATATCATCCTCATTTGGTTATTTCCATTCATCTCTTCATATCTATCTATCTATCTATCTATCCATTATCATTCATCTATCTATCTCAGTACATATGGGTTTGGTTTGGTTTTGTTTTATGGCATATCAACCTCAATGGGTTATTTAATGCTAGACTCTTCAATTCATCTATCTATCTTTATCTCATCTATCTATTCATCTATCTCATCTATCTATCTATCCATCTATCTATCTATCTATCTATCTATGGCATATCATCATATGGGCACACATGGGTTTGGTTTGGTTTGTTTTACGGCATATCAATATCAATGGGTTATTTAATGCCGATTCTTCATTATTCATCTATCTATCTTTTTTTAATCCATCTATCTATCTATCTATCTATCTATCTATCTATCTATCTCAGTACATATGGGTTTGGTTTATTTGTTTTGGGCATATCAACTTCAATGGGTTATTTAGGCACCGATCTCTTCATCTATCTATCATCGATTCATCTATCTATCTATTATCTATCTATCTATCTATCATATCTATCTATCTATCTATATCTCAGTACATATGGGTTTGGTTTCATTTGTTTTACGGCATATCAACTTTTAATATTTATTTAATTCATCGATTCATCTATCTATCTATCTATCTTTGTCTCCATTCATATCATCTTTATCCATCTATTCTATCTATCTATCTATCTATTCATCTATCTCAGTACATATGGGTTTGGTTTATTTGTTTTATGGCTATCAACCTCAATGGGTTATTTAATGCCGACTCTTCATATCTATCTATCTATCTATCTATCACATCTATCTATCTATCTATCTATCTATCTATTATCTATCTATCTCATTGGTTTGGTTTGTTTTATGGCATATCAACCTCAATCTATTTAATGCCGACTCTTCTATCCAATATCTATCTTTGTATCTCATTCTATCTATCTATCTATATCTATCTATCTATCTATCTATATCCAGTACATATGGGTTTGGTTTGGTTTGTTTTATGGCATATCAACCTCAATGGGTTATTTAATGCCGACTCTTGATTTATCTATCTATCTATCTTTTGTCTATATCTATCTATCTATCTATCTATCTATCTATTATCTATCATCTATCTATCACATATGGGTTTCATTTGGTTTGTTTTACGGGCATATCAACCTCAATGGGTTTTTAAACTCTTTACATTCATCTACATTCATCTTCATTTATCTATTATCTATCTATCTATCTATTCATCTATCTATCTCATCAATGGGTATTGGTTTGTTTGTTTTACGGCTGGCCTCAACCTCAATGATTTATTTATCCGTCCTCCTATTATCTATCTATCTTTTTCATCTA